GGTCAATTCTTGCTATTTCCTCAAGATCACCAAGGTAACAGATACTTTTCAGTGGAGAAGAAAATCATGATTCTTAGGAGTTGAGATCGCATCGGTTGTTCAATGTTTTTCACTTTCGTTTTTTTCGTTGTGTAACTGTTTGTCTTGTTGGCGTGATTCACTAGTTTGATGCCTTACATTTCGATTATGGCCATAGTTCAGAGCAATTTTCTTCCTTCCAAGATCAATCTCTGCAGTAAATGCGCAAATATTTTACGGAATTTCGGACTCTGTGGGATGTCATATAATTGCTGGTAATGGGTGTGTGTGGGTGTGGGTGTGCTTGTGTGTGTGTGTGTGTGTGTGTGTGTGTGTGTGTGTGTGTGTGTGTGTGTGTGCGTGCATGTGTGTGTGCGTGCGTATGTGTGTATGTGTATGTATAGCCGTGTGATCAAGACGAATCAGGAGCTGGAAGTCCTGCGTTACTGTAACCGCATCAGCAGTGAAGCACACAAGACAGTCATGTCCAAGATTCGCCCAGGCATGAAGGAATACCAGCTGGAAAGGTCAGTACTGAGCAGGCATTGCTTTATTAAATCACTCAGAGACTTTTCTCCGAGTCCACTTCTACCTGTACGTGTGAAAGTTTGTAGAACCATCATCAAACCTTCCTTCTCTTGATAAATCTAGCGTTGTTTCAGGGTCTTCTTTCTGACAATGTGCTGCTGCACTTGGGTATGAAAACACACGTAATGAGATGCTGTGAGCCTTCTCAGCTAGCCAAGTGCCAGTGGTCACACTGTCATGGAGTGTGCCTATTGCCTTACCACCGATGTACATGTACGTGTACCTGCTTCAATGTGGCGCTTGTTTCACTACTCACCATTAACATTTTCGCACTCATCGTGTGCATTAGTAATCCGGTGCGGTATTTCCCCGATTATAAACCGCACTCGATTATAAGTCACACCCCTATTTTTTCATCAATTTGAACGGCATATTGTTTCAATATATTGAATGATTCTATTCACATAAGTAGTATATCACACTCAATTGTAAGTCACATCCCCTTCTCTGACCGAGAAGTTTTTTAAAGTGTAAGCAGGTGCGACTTATATTTGGGGAAATCTGGTGTATCTGTGTTGGGGAGGCGTTGTGGTTTGCACCGCCATTGTGTGACCATTGGTACTAACCGCCTCCTTGTCGCTTTCCACTGGTCTTATGCTCATGCAGCAAGACATACACTCCCTCATTTCCCCCTTGTTGGCTTTCAAAGTATTTGAGGCCATGCGCTTGGAGTGACCTTTCAATGAGTGATGTGAAGCTGCTGCTGCTATTGTTTGTTCAACTCCTTCAACGAAAAATAGTGTGTACCCGTATCATTCATTGCTTTCTAAGTGGAAGTGGAGTTGCTGGCTTGAAGATGGAATAAACTATAACGATCGAAGCGTTTGGTTTAACACAGTTATTCCTTATAGTGGTCCTAGTCGAGGAGCTGTTACAAATTGCTCCGACAGCCTTGTGTGTTTATTTATTTAGTTGCTGCATGGTGGCCTTAGAGCTTGTACATGCGGGATGTGATGTGTATCTAACAGTTAGATGCTGTGTTGCTTTGTTTTGTGTATTTCAGTTTGTTCCTGCACGAGTGCTATTTCCAAGGTGGATGCCGGCACTGCTCCTACACGTGTATTGCTGCCAGGTAGGAGAGTACTGTATATCACCTTTTTCCCGTAGCTATGCAGAAGACGTTACTTCAGTAACGTCTGGCGCTAGCCAGGGTCCACACAGCTTTAATTTGGTAATTATTAATTTGTTGGTTTGTTTGTTTGTGTCACGCCTGGCGCTATCCCGTATCTGTCCAGTACCGTACCGTACCATCAAACACAGCTGGCCACAAACAGCTGGCCACAATATTTGCTGGCTCCCGTATCTGTCCCGAACCGTACCGTACCATCAAACACAGCTGGCCACAAACAGCTGGTCACAATATTCGTCGTATTATGTATACGACTCCCTGATGTATAGGGAGACTTTCTGGAAAGAAATAGGGAGACGAGGAGGAAATGCAATTAGAATGGACGTTAGTTGCCGAATAGGTGATAGGATGCGTCAGCAAAAACATACTTTGGAAGAGAGATCCCGTCGTCTCCAAAATAAGCGTGAACGGGCGAGTCAGCGCCTGTCACAGGAAACGTCAGAAGAGAGATCCCGTCGACTCCAGAACGCCCGTGATCGGCAGAGTCAGCGCCGGTCCCAGGAAACGTCAGGACAGACATCCCATCGACTCCAGAACGCCCGTGATCGGCAGAGTCAGCGCCGGTCCCAGGAAATATTTCCATCAGTTCTAACAACATGCACGATGAGCTAAGCAACAAAGCATAGCGTAGGGCCCTGAGCTTCCAAGCTCTCTCGTTTTCGGTGTTGTACAATTTCGGTAAAAGCCAACCCAGACCTTTCGGTGTAAGGATAAATTCGGTGTATGGCAACAAAAAAAACCGTGACTACTCTCCGGCTCCACATACTATGTACATTTACATGACATTCTCGATTTTGTACATTTACATGACATTCTCGATTTTGTACATTTACATGACATTCTCGATTTTGTACATTTACATGACATTCTCGATTTTGTACATTTACATGACATTCTCGATTTTGTACATTTACATGACATTCTCGATTTTGTACATTTACATGACATTCTCGATTTTGTACATTTACATGACATTCTCGATTTTGTACATTTACATGACATTCTCGATTTTGTACATTTACATGACATTCTCGATTTTGTACATTTACATGACATTCTCGATTTTGTACATTTACATGACATTCTCGATTTTGTACATTTACATGACATTCTCGATTTTGTACATTTACATGACATTCTCGATTTTGTACATTCATGCAAGATTACTACATGCACCATATACATGCACCAGTACAACCAGCATACAACAGCATACAACTTGAATTAAAACCCTTTGGCTCCCCACTATAGGGCTTGAAAGTGCTACGTCACAGCATAGCAACAATTTCAAAAATTCAAAAATTGGATCCACTTGGATCCAGTTTTTGTATGGATCCAAGCACATTTCAAGCCGTCTTACTCTCAGCAAGGTGATGTTACCAGTGAAACTGACTGATTTGGCTACTGGGGGCGGGGTTACAACTGGTGGCGAAATAAAAGTCACACCTGCATGCGACATGAGTGGGTTGCTATGCACCCACATACTTAGGCAATAGCAAAGTCACACCTCAGTGGATCCAAAAATAGAAATCTGATGTCAACTTACTACTCCCTGGCCGTTTTGACGTCATCACTTTCAAGCCCTATACAAATTTCGACGGTATTCCGTCGATGACTTCAAACAGCCATAACTCATTCAAATATTGCACTATCGTGAGAATCGAAGTATGTAGAGTGTAGCTAAAGTCCTCAGCTTTCCGTTGGTGCAATCGTTTTCACGATAGCTCCAACGGTTGTTGAGATATCGCGCTCGAAAGTTGGAGGACGGCACTTTTCTCGTTCCGAGCACATTTTCGAGCATGAACCGGGGAATTCCCCTTGTTCTCAAGTACCTGTGATGAATTTTTTTGCGTAAATCATGGTGGCCGCGAATTATTGGAAAGGCTTCCTGTCTGAACACGGCTGTTAGCTGCACTTGGATCGCGGCAACTTAGTTTTCTGCACGTGAGCCATGAAAAATCAATGCATGCTCATGCATGTTCATGCATAACCAGTCAGCTGGCCTGCTCGCCCACGCATTTGACAGGTAACAATTCCATCAAATTTGAGATATCGCTTCGTTCTAAGTCTCAAAACAGTTCTAAAGTCACCAAACCACGCTGGTAATCGATGGCTATTCAATGTTAACATCTTCAGGAAGACTTCAGCTGTTTCCCGAGAGTTTGGGCATCGTTGCCGTTATTTTTCACGGTGTTCTTCTTCCTCCTGTCTGGAGCTGCAATTGCATCCTGGAATTATTTGAAAGGTATTTCGTGCGGGCTGTGGGGGGGTTCCAACAGGCATAAACTGACATCGCTATAGGATAACTGGTAACTTTCACCCTTCAAGGAGGTAGAGCAATGAGAATTTTTTTGTGGCGGTCGCCCAATTTTTGTGGCGGTCGTGGCTGTATTTGTGCACTTCCAAGGCTTTCATTCTGCCTGATACTACTCTCTACTGTATGGGAATCGTTGTTTAGGCACATGTAGCTGTCTTATTTGGTAGATCTGCTGTTTTTAATCACTTGGGACACTTTGTCTAGCCTATTTGTCTTTCGTTCGTGCCATCTATCAGTTTTGTGGGGTGCCTTGACTTGTATTTGTGAATTTCTCGAGTAAAGACCCTAATTCTTGACTGGAGTCACGTCTTGAATTGAATTTGCTGGGCGAGCCCTCGTTCACGCAGTTGTCCTTATCGTAATAGTCAATATCTACTTGCTGGACGGACTAGCGGCTAGAACAGGGATGACCAAATGGTCCAAGTGTGTACTAGTACACGATTATTGTTTCCATCATCGTGAAACGAGCGTTGTGGAATTGCAGTCGTCTGCCTTTGGCGCTGAGGACATGAGGAGAGTTGATTGTTACTTCTGCTCAGCAATGAAGCGATCATCAGCTCTCTTTGTTCTAATTATTGTGAGAACATACCGGCATCGCAATCAAGTAAAGATTAGGCAAACCTCGCCAACCTCCAAAGAGAGTCGAAGATATTTTCTCCAAATGCAAAGACGACTCTTCTTTGTGAGTTTGTGACTTGCATTTGCGTGCATACATGAGCAAGTCACGGACCACGGCACGTGCGCGGTTACCATGCCATCTCGAACCGACGCCATCTTTCTAAGTTGCCGCTTCTTGACAGCCGTGTGAAGCCTTTCCATACTGGTACTCGATGTTCCAGTTTTGTGACACGAGAATGGCACGAGAATTAGTGTACCGCTGAGTGTACCGCTATACACGTGGTCGACACGTAGTCGACACTTTGTTGACACTTTTTGGACACGTGACCCCGTCAACGGTCAGCTTTGTGCCAATGCCACTCGGTAAACGCCGATGTCGCGTACGACAAAGACGACTATCCCGTACGCGAAATAGTTGAGAACTGCATGACGTGGACCTGACGGCAAGGACAACTGCGAGGAGGCCCCTTTCCGTACCCCGTACTGCAAAGTGCCATTGATGGATGCCTTTTGCACCTGGAACGACCCCTTAAAGGGGAACTCCACGAAAAAATGAAACTTTGATAGCCTGTAGAGTTTCGGGCGCTGAGTCGAATGGTCTTGGTCCGAAGTCTCTACGACGAAGCGTTCTTGAGATATTTCACTTTGAAATTGCAAAAACGGGGGCCGCGCCCTGACGTCATGCGGCCATTTGGTTACATCATCACGGGCTGCCTACGTCATTGTGGCAAAGTCGTTTCTCTTCGCCAGTCTACAAGCACTAATTTTAGTTGGTATTTCAAGGGAAGATGGGCGATTCCGAACAATCCTCTGTCCCCAGCAATGAAGGCAGCGATGCTGAGGCCAGTGAGGACGACCAACAGCCCACCGCCGCGTATGGTTGGGGCAGGGAGCCCAGATACTGTGCTGAGGAGCTGCCATCGCGTGTAACAAATGTGGAGGAAGAAGATGCGTCAGCAGCTGCGTCCGGCAGAAGACGAGTAGCTTGGCCACCAGAATCTCGATTCGTTTGGGACTCCGACTGGTGCGAGCGTGGACAAAAGTGTATAGCCATGCCCAGCCCGCGGGAATGATTTTGCTGGTAGGATGCTGCCGTCGCTGTCGACAAGACGGCCCAAGGTTTCTTGCGTAGCGGACCTCACAGATTACGAGATCGTATCCTTGCATTAGGCTGTGCTCATCACTGCTCTTCGAGGTTATCTCGACATGCAGAAGCCGCCAATGCCAGTGACAGAAGAGTCTGACATTAGGTAAGCCTCAATTAGTTTGCCTTGACTTGTCTTGTGAGGATCGCGTATCAGCATGATACACTTATTCTTATTTTTTGGGGGAAATTTATTGTTGTCAGGCGCACTACAGTAGGCGTCGCACAAGAAAGACATTGTACTGGTAGTTATCACAAGTTTCATGCATGACACAAACAAATTTCTCTTTGCTCCGAGTATGTCTTGACTTATCTTGTGAGGATCGATGCGCGTAATGTTTTGTGTGTAACCGTAGTTATTGTTGTCAGGCATAGCACGAACAACGTTGTTCTGTACTATAGACCGTGCTATCACAAGTTTTCATGCATGACTCACATTTGTCTTTGTCATTTTCCCTTGGATTGGTACAAGATCTACAAAGTATGGTAGGTAGTGTTCTGTTGGTGAAGAGAGCACTGCACACAGTTTATGAGCACCATGGGTGCATTAATTTTGATCACACCCGAACCCATACTTTATCGTTTCAAGCGATAGACTTTGTCAATAAACTCGTTTTCTAGTATACCATGGCATGCAACGTACAAGCGTGGGGTCAAGAATGCGTACACCAAAACAATGCACAAATTCTGGCAGGAGAGTAAGAAATCTGTACTTTCTGACGAAGACATCTCTGTACTAGTAGGTAATCGAACGCATCCTAATCAGTATTCATCCCCCAGATCATTGGAATTCAATTTGAAATCAGCAATTATGGTAAATTCTACAAGACCCTCCATCTTTGTACCAGTGGACACTAAATTAGTATGGCGCGCGCACTGAAAGTGCAGGTAGGTACCGGTAGGTGCAATACAGCGCATATGTAGAGTAAATGAGTATTTGACTATAATAATTATTACGGTACAGCAATGTGGTATGTGTACAAGTACTCATCATACACATTCCATATGACATTCTGTGTTTGTGTAGATCTCTACGCTATGCGGCACACAGGCAGTACACACTATGTACACGGCAAATTGGGCAAGCACGTTCGTTGTCGTCTTCCAGCCTGCGTTGTGAATACCATCAGGCAAAGATATCCAAATCCTGCACCACCTCAGCCTTCTCAGGAGGCTTCCACCTTGAATTTGGCAGGGAAACACGCTTCTCCAAGGCAGGAACATGGAGGTTGCCATTTGCAACCGCTACCACCTCACACATGAGCTTGTCAACATACTCATAGCTCTTTCTGTCGTATAATTTTCTATTTGGCCACAGTCTTCTTTATGCTTTGAGAACTGGACTTTATACCTTCCTATCGCGGTCTTTTTGGTTGTGCTGTGGCGACGGTTGACATTGACGTCGTCAAGAGCTGCGAGATGTGCGTGTCCAATCATCCCCAGAATTGAGAAACGAATGCGTTTGAGAATGTAGTTTGGCATGACACTGTGATATACCTGCATGGCAAAAAGAATGTGGAGAAAACAAACTTGCTTAGACAATAATTATACTGCTGTATGAGAAAATGGAAACTTCACCGTACAGGACGACTCTTGTTCTCAATTGCATTGTTCGTTTCATTCCCTGTGTTGCCCATAAGAGACGGGAGCAAAAATGTTGCAGCAGATGTTTGTTGTCTTCTGGCGTGGAGTGGCGGCGTCATTAGATGTACACATAGTCATTTCACTAAGTATACCACTACTACAGCATATGTACTATCCTTAGGCTAGCGTGCGTGCGAGTGAGTTTGAGTATGTGGGTGCGTATGTGTGTGTGTTGTTGTGTTTGTGTGTGTGCACGCACACGCACGCGCGCGCATGTGGGTGATGGTGTGAGTGCATGTGTATAATATGTGTAGTTCCCACTGTATTCCTTGCACAATAGGTCTTCACTTACTTTTCTTTCGCATACAACCAGAACCCATTCCTTGTTCGAAATTAGATTTTTTTGGCCTGGTGATCCCGCAAGCGTGGAACTCGGAGTGTAATATATTTTTGTTTCACTTTACTTGCACTATTCCAAGGCTGTCCAGACTTCTAACAACTGCTCTGAGTGATTATGGTATTCATGCAACCATGCCTAGAAGTAGGGTAGCTGTTATAAATAGAGACATATCCACGCAATCAACTTACACTGGTTCAGTTTGGCAGGATTGGTGAGACAGTTCGTCGTGCATGCTGCCTGCACATCGCAAGCAAACAGTTCTGTAACCTTCGTACTTGCTGGGGGTCTGTCTGTTTGCGTCCCAGTTGATGAAAGATGCGCACAGTTTGAGTACTGGTATGCGCAAAGTTACTGGGGTAATATCGTTCATCAGCTAGCTGCAGTCGGAGTTGATGGGGTGATGTACTCTTCTGATCCTGATGGGACGTATCTCGCCCTGCTTTCTCAGTTGCAGCTTGTTGAGTTCGCTTTGCTGGAGGCTCACGGTTCGGAGGGCACTGGTACACTGATGAGGGCTTTCCTGGACGGCGTACTCGTCAAAACTCAGCTCTCAAGTCCCTCTGGATCATAAATGCAGCGAGCAAACATAGCTCGTGCTGCGAAAATAGGCTTGAAATGTTCACGACGCATTGCAACATCTCGGCGCTTTGCCAGGTCTCCATCCTTTGGGAATTTGAGAAAACTAACCCCAGGAGGATGATGTGATACTGGCACAATCAACAACACAACAATTTGGCATTGCAGCGGCTCAGGCGACTTGGCAAACTACTTTCTGAAGTGACTTTCGTCCTGAAGAAAGTGAGATTCAAAATCCAAGTATTTTCGCACATTGCCACAATGACGTCACACATACATTGGTATGGGGCGTGGCTAAAATTGAAATATCTCAAGAACGCTTTCTCGTAGAGACTTCGGACCAAGACCATTCGACTCAGCGCCCGAAACTCTACAGGCTATCAAATTTTCATTTTTTCGTGGAGTTCCCCTTTAAACGCTGTCGCGGCGACTGCCCCGTACGCGAAATAGTTGAGAACTGCTGAAGTGGACCTTTTGCACCTGGAACGGCCCCGTCAACGCTGTCGTGTCGGCGGAGTGAATGTGCAGGGTGAAAATAATTGCTGCAAAGACGTCCGGTCTAGGCCTTTGGAGACATCGTGGGAACTCCTTCCGGTACTATACAAACTGCTGACGTGGCCGTGGACATGTACATGGAGACATGGTGGGACTTCATGTACATGGATACATGGTGGGAATTCCTTCCGGCACCCCCGTACCGCAAAGCCAACGGTGGGGAAGGAGAAGTGCAGACGTGCAGGAAGACGAACGAGGACGAACCAGGACGAGCGAGCAATGGCAGGACTAGGGGGACTGTAAGTAATAGCTGAATTGTGCATGACAACTTGACATCCATGCGGCACTCGCCACTTGCCACTGCATATTTCTTGTCCACTAACAATGTCTCTCCTCTGCCCCTGTGTGTCCACGGCCCTGTTGCTGAACTGGCCCGATGAATCGAATGTCTTCCGCAACTGGAACGGCCCCGTAAACGCTGTCGCGTCGGCGACTGAATGCGCAGGAGGGAAAATATTGGTGCGAAGACGTCTCCTCTAGACGACGGTAAGGCACCCCATTGATATGTTGCCAGTGTGTGCCGGGTATCGCGCGATGGTGAATGAGGAATGACGAAGGGTACGGTGGGACTGTAGACCTGCTACCTTGTAACACGTTATCAGGTGGAGAGTGTCTTGTGACTCACGTTATCAGGTCGAGAGCGTATTGTAGTAAAAAAATGTAATGGTCTACAGTCGTGTAGGAAGGGTACGGTGGGACTGTAGACCTATTACCTTCTAACACGTTATCAGGTGGAGAGTGTCTTGTACTCACGTTATCACTATATCAGGTCGAGAGCGTATTGTAGTCACTCTCTCTATTCCTGTACATCATTACGTTTCAGGTGTACGTATAACTTTTCCAAAAAATGTAATGGTTCACGTCTTCAGATAGAGAGCGTATTGCACCCACTGTCTAGTCTCTGTAGTGCATTGAGATTTTGTTGGTCGCACATGAAATGGATACACAGACAAAGCAGGCCAAGTACATGGCGAGATTTGGCCAGAAGACACGTAGTCATGAACCACCAAGGCGACATACAGAAATTGCGCCTGGACACGCAAAGACAAAGCAGGCCGCTTACATGGTGACATCTCGGGAGAAAGCAAAGCAGGCGAGATAGCGGGTGAAAGAGCCCGCCGCGCGCATTAAGACATCGAAGAAGGAAGGGAAAAGCATGGGCCTGTTGCAAAGAAAGCGAAAGTGCCCCCGCAAAAGCGATTACGAAGAACACGGGCAAAGGAACGGACACACATAAAGATACCGCGCAAAAAACCCGTGTGCAGCATTGCACATATGTGACATTATAGGCAGTGCGGACGATGTTCCGGACGCTGCATTTGGCCTCCCCACGTGGCATCCTTCTGAAAGCGCTGATCCCGACAGAACTACATTTCCACCTATTTCACCACCACTGTACACTTTCACTGCCAACACGAGAGGAAGTCAGCAAGACGTGATCCGTGACGCTATTCGCGCTCGTCTCCTGGACAATGCAGAGAGAGTGGACGATGTTCGGATTGACAAGGTCTGCGGGTACTTCATTAAAGTTACCCGTGACATAACTAGGATAGAAGTTAATCGCTGCAAAGACCTTGCCAAATATGTGAGCACACTTGACTTGACGGAAGAGTGCACGGGCGACGTTGACAAAACATACCGCGGTGACTGTCACCATCATGACAGCAGGGCACAACCTTATCATAGTGACTCGTGGCGCATTTGTCTGGGCAGCGATGGTAGTGAATTATTGACGCCTATAATTACTGACATCACTGGCAAGGCACACAACACTGTCCAGTCGCCAGATGGGGGAGAAATGGCAGGTCAAGTTGAAGTTGTGTCTCCCGACGATGATGGACTGACACTTGTGGAGCTGCAGAAGTGCGATGGTCTGTGCAAGGTGCGTGAGGGGTAGTGCGCTTCAGATACGCGACTTTTGTGACCTGGTTACTGGGTGCGTCGACGAGAAAAGGAACTTGGGCGACATGTTGGGAAACTTGTTCGCTGAATCGCGCATGTCAAAGAGTAGGAACGTGGACCACATGCCTTATCCATGTGCTAAATGCGAAATTGTCGATCGCAACTTGAAATGGTGCCTTCCCACGTGCAAAACCGGGTATTCTGTAAATTGCACTTCTGACAGTGGATGCAGAAGCTTGTGGTGCAACTTGTACCATAGGAGGCCACATTCCAATGTAGCATTTAAATTGTACGCCAGTGCAACAGCCGTGAAGCGTGCATGTCTAGCGCGGCAGGCCTTGACAGATGTACTAGCTCGTGAGTGCACCCTTAACGACATGTATTGCATGGTTGCTGAGGTTACCAGACTGTATCCTGCGGGTGTGTGGGACCATTTCACGGTAGGAAAGTACCTTGATGACGCATTCAAAGACATTGCTGTGCCCCAAATGGGCATGACAGTCGACCACGATCTATGTTTGGATGAAAATGCTATTATTACTAGGCATGCCGAACAGTATGCGGCATTTGAGGAGAAGGTGTGTAACGTACCTGTGTTTGCATGCATTTCTTGCCACATGCTAAGGCGAAAGGAGGAGGTGGTCCCTTCCCCCTTGCAGATTGCGATGGATTTGTGGGAAATCTCATGAACAGACTAACAAGTTATGTGAGTGAAAACCTCCGCATTGTGCCTACACATTTCCACCTTGGTGTCTGCAACATCGACCTGTGCTAAATCGTTGGACAAGGGAAATTTTCCATAACCCGCAAGTACTGAACTTCCCGCATCGGTGGTATGCAATGGGGGAATGCTTCACAACCTCTGTCTGTTGCCTAAACACGCATTCTTCTGCCTTCTCCCTGCGTTCGTGTCCAGGTCGCCATAGTTTCAATCGCCACGCATCACTTGGCCATTGAAGCAGCGTCGACAGCATTGATGCAATTAAAAATGTTTCGTCCGAAAGCCAATGTGTTGAATTAAGTCTGCTGAAGTGCTATTGCACAACATGTCCGTGTTTGCTCTCCTCTGCGCGCGTGTCTGTGTGTGTGTGCATGTGTGTGTATGTGTGTGTGTGTATGTGTGTGTGTGTGTGTGTGTGTGTATGTGTGTGTGTATGTGTGTGTGTGTGTGTGTATGTGTGTGTGTATGTGTGTGTGCGTGTGTGTGTATGTGTGTGTGTGTATGTGTGTGTGTGTGTGTGTGTGTGTGCGCGCGTTCATTTATGTCTTCCCTTGTGCGTGTGTTGGGGGGGGGGGAAGGTGTGCCGTGGTCTCACTGGCCCCGTCACTGACGACAGAGATTTCGGCGCATGCGCGGGCCGTGGTGCGGCCCACGGTTGCCGCAATGTGCATGTGCGCTTATGCACCCCTGTCTACAACAATGCGTACTGTTGTGCTTCCGTTTGTCCGTGTGTCTCTTCACGCCTCTGCCTGTGCGTATGTACATTGGTCCATGTCACGTCAACTGTACGCGTGTCTGCGTGAGTGTATACACGTATGTGCAGTCGGGCAGCATGACCTGCTGATCAGGAGGTGTGTGCCAGTGCCACGCACTGCCGAAGCACGGGTGCTCACAGCTGGCTATGTGACCACCCTACTGCAATGTCCCATTGCGACGGGACGGAGTTGGGGCTCGACACCATATCAATGCCCACTCTAAAACTCACCCGTTACACTGGAACGTTCAACGTATACAGTGCTCCATGGTGCAACCGCTCTACACTCATTTACTGGGAAACATGCAGTGGTTCAATGGGTTGGTTGCCCTCATGGCTGGGCCCGGGGTGGGTGGGGGAACGGAAAAAGAACTGAAATTATCCATATAAAAACTGCTCTCTGAGCAGTTCTGAAAAACCTATACTGGTGCAGCCCCGTCGTAAAACTATGAAATTAGAACTGGGCCTTTATCCCCCCCATGTGAAATGGTCCACCTAAATAGGGAATGACGGGACCCGAACGCACCAGTAGCACGAGGTTCCCACCTACACATATTATGGATGCAGATGGGGACGCTGGTCCACAGCCCCATAGCAATATTTGTACACGGCCACTGATACACTGCAGTAGTATTGGTGACATGTGCCCTCCCGACCTCGTGCTACTGGTGCGTTCGGGTCCCGTCATTCCCTATTTAGGTGGACCATTTCACATGGGGGGGATAAAGGCCCAGTTCTAATTTCATAGTTTTACGACGGGGCTGCACCAGTATAGGTTTTTCAGAACTGCTCAGAGAGCAGTTTTTATATGGATAATTATTATTATTAAATCATGGTGCAGGCTACCGGTACGCGGTATACCTGCTACGGCAGTACAAAAAAAATCAGAGCTGGGCGAGCAAGGAAATTGAAATGGCTGAAGAAGAAAGGGATTGAGGACATTCCCAGCGATGTGGTACCTTCGCTGGGCTGTAGAGCTGGGCTTGCTACTCTGATTTCACTCGGTGATGGCTCATTGTGTTCGCGCTGAGAAGAGCTTTCCGGAGAGCCCAAGATTGTGGAAATCAGGCTACTAGAACGTAAGTTATGACCAAAAGTTGACACAATTTGAGCGAAAATTATGGCTATTGCTAAATAGTGGAGTTATGGGGGAGCCAAAGGGTTAACATGTTTTGGTACATGTATTTCGGAAAAGTTAGGTGTAATGTTAAATTAGGTGATCCAGGACCTCTACCGAAGTTACCGAAATTTAAATTACACCAAAATATACACGTTATACAGCACCTCCCTCTTTGTTGCCTCTCTCTCTCTCTCTCTTTGTTGCCTCTCTCTCTCTCTCTCTCTCTCTCTCTCTCTCTCTCTCTCTCTCTCTCTCCCTCAACTATTCAAGTATCCCTTTGCCCCTTGTCGAACTGTATTGGTCTGTTTTATCAATGTCGCATTCTACCATATAGTCATCATACCCAACAGCATATGCGTTCTCATAAAGAAGCTGCTTAGAAACAGCATGATCCCTTTGTTGATGTCCATGCTCATAGTCCATGCTCAAACTGAAGACTGTGTGTCTCTGTGTCTCTGTTCTCCTGGTCTTGTATTGCAGTGGTGACAATGCAGCTACACTTCATTATGGCCATTCTGCTGCACCCAATGACAAAACAGTCAACGACGGAGACATGTGGTAAGCGATCAGCTCCAAACGGCTAATCCTTCCATGTCAATCCTGAATCCTTGTCATTGTTCAGCGTACATCAAGGAGAGTCGGAGCCATGCTGAGCAGCATGTTCAGCTGACTTCTTGAAACATAGATCTTCTCCCAACAACAGCAGCACACAGTGCATTATGAAATGGCTTGGCTGCAGGAGCACAGTGGTGGTGGTGCAAAGAGCTTTGTGTTAGATGTGGAATTGAGTGCAAACAAGCCGTGTACCCTACTAAGCCGTGTAGTAGGCGTGTACCCTATACTCATCCAGGTACTCAGTACTGGCGTGTACCCTATTCATCCAGGTACTCAGTACTGTCAGACACTATACTCATCCAGGTACTCAGTACTGGCGTGTACCCTATACTCATCCAGGTACTCAGTACTGTCAGACTATGTTTGCTCTTACAGCTGAGGTTGCCTTTTGGTAATCCAGCACACGAAACTTGGACTGGTGGCTATTCCCTCCTCTCCTCCCTGCTGTAGAGGTTGATCATTAGCTTTTTGTCCATAGCCCAACCGCATACATTCATTGTTACAGATTATCGATCATCAGGATTGTTTTGCTGCTGCTGCCGCTGCTGCTGCTGCTGTTGTTGTTGTATTGTAGCTTGTTTGACATGGGCGGTGAGTACTACTGTTATGCCAGTGACATCACCTGCTCATTCCCGGTCAATGGCAAGTTTACACAGGAACAGCGCATCATCTACGAGGCTGTGCTCAAGGCATCTCGTGCTGTCATGGCTGCCGTAAAGCCAGGTAAGCAACTGCTGCTCTCGATCTCTTTCTTCTCAAGGGGGAGTGTGCAATGCCCTGCCCGGAGATTGTATAACCATTGCCAGCCTGGCCCAGTAGTTGGTGTACACGATACCCAAGCTGGCTGGCCCGGTTAGATATTTTAATTCCTTTCGGATGAACCGTAAGGAAAAGCACGTGTACTTTCCCTTCAAAGCTCATTTCTTGACAAACGCACAAGATCCGTACACTGATGTTGCAACTCTGCTGCTCCGAGCGATGCTTATGCTTTTAAAAATGTTCCGCTTGTTTGTGTGCATGAACTGTGTGCCATGTGCTATGTGTGTTCTCGTGGCGTATAGGTGTGTGTTGGACAGACATGCACTTGCTAGCCGACCGTGTTCAGCTGCAGGCACTAATCGATGCTGGTCTGTTGCATGGTGACCTGGAGGCCATGATGGAGGTCAGGATGGGTGCCGTGTTCATGCCACACGGTCTTGGTCACTTCATGGGTCTGGATGTGCACGATGTCGGTGGCTACCCAGAGGTAAGCGTGTGTGTTGTAGTACGTTATTTTGTGTACGTCGTGTGTACGTCATGTTGGTGCATGCGCGTGTTGCTGTGGTGTGAAAAGCTGTCTTCGTCTTGAGTTCATCATGATGTCTTCGTCTTGAGTTCATCATGTCTTCGTCTTGAGTTCATGTCTTCGTCTTGAGTTCGTCATGTCTAGTTGTGTTTCTTCGTCGTGTCAATAAACAGTCTTCTAAATGTAGTTATCGTCGTCCATTTGTATAAGTGTGGAGATGGCACGGGACTGGGAGCAGGTAGAGAAAAGCGAGTTACAACATGTGCATACCGGTGTGCTGTGCGCGCGTGTCTGTGTGTGTGCTGTGTGCGTGTCTGTCTGTGTGTCTGTCTGCGTGTCTGTCTGTGTGTCTGTCTGTGTGTGTCTGTGTGTTTATCTGTGCTAGCTATTATGGCTTGATAGCACCATTCCATCATGGCAACAGTACATGCTAGCTGTATCAAATATAGCATCAGCCTGTACTGGAAATTGATGATACTACTATCAGTCTATCATACTAGCTTATGTCAGTTTGCAAACTGGCGGTCAACACATGCTGGACATCACACGCTCTGTCTAGCTACAAACTATTCCATCACATCCAGCAACTCAACACCGTCTCCTCTCGCCATAGCCAGGAGCTTGTGCCTGGCACCATACAGACTACTGTAAGACATGTTATTAGAACGAGTCGCAAATTTAACGATTGTCCAAAATTCATAGGTTAACGAGAAGATATGTTAACGATCTTGCAGTATTCTGCCATATCCACACACAGCATATATGAAGCAGTACGGCTTCAACGGATCTTATTATAACGAAGAAATGTCATCCGTTAAAACGTTAGATTTGCTTCCTCGTTATATATACATGTCTTACAGTATACATAGAGAGAGAGGGGCATGAAGCGTCTTCAAACCCTTCTTCTACCCTATACCATTATTTTCCATGACCAGTCTGATTACTGGTGTTCAAGTGTTGATCTTCCCTGTGAGTGCATGCTGTATTTTAGAGCTAATAGATCTCTTCGCATGCAGTGGTCTGGATGCCTGGTCACGAATCTGCTCACAGCTAACTTCAAGCCATTGGTATCATCAGCAATGTGTACATTAATTTAATGCACCTGCGTGTCCGCGTGCTCTTTGTTTGTTTAGGGTGTTGAGCGCAGTCCGCTGCCAGGACTGAGGTCCCTGCGAACGGCTCGTGTGCTCAAGGAAGGAATGGTCCTGACCATCGAACCAGGAGTCTACTTTATTGATCATGTAAGTACACAGTACGTATGTATCTATCTCATGCCTTTGCCTGCTTGTGTACAGACAATCATCGCTATTTTTTGCTCCTCTTTTTCTGGTTCTCTCACCACCTGTGAAAGTCGGCTGAAACCAATTAAAAACAGGCAGCGTGCTCACGAAGAGAGAACAAACTTGCAAACCACTTTTACTTGCAGAGAAAACCAGGCCAATGGAGGCAGGCAGTGGCACAGGGGTCGGTTATCCAGGGCAGTGGTTGCTATGGTGTTTGGCGTTAAAAAATTCTGGTATTTCTAGCGGGTTTGCAGAGAAAACGAAGTGTTACATTTCGCTTCACCTCCTTATGCAATTAGGATTGTACATCAAAACCTATGGCTTCTTGTATAATCCCCAATTAGTCTCTACTATGCTACGGTGCCGGTGGTGTGGTGTGTGAATGGGAATGTATCTTGACTCTTGGTGTTGGTTGATGTAGCTTCTGGACAACGCTTTGGCTGATCCCAAGCAGAAGTGCTTCATGAACGAGGAGGCGATCAACAAATACCGCAAATCCGGTGGAGTAAGTATATTTTGTACACGTACTTCTAACTGTCCTACCCTGCCACTAAATGTTAGCGAGTTTCTGAGGACTTTTCCTTTCTGAAGGATGGCGGGGCCTTACAAAGCTCCCTTACTAAAAGGCTGGATTAGGGCCGGGTTCCACTGCGGCTCCGCTGCTCCGCGGCACTTGGCTACATGCAGCGGAGCAGCGCGGTTCCACTGACACTCGCCATTCACGGTACCGCGGTCGTGGTCCACACTTTTTGATGACGTTTCGAAATTAAAAAAATCCTCGTGTTCTGGCCTGCGCAAGGAATTAAAATTTGAATTTTAAAATTCTCGCGTACAAAACAATGCAAAGTACGGGAAACAGGTCGAGCCGGCTAGCTGCGACCGCGGCTCGCAGTTTTTCGTCAAGAATCGTAGCGAAAGCTCGTTGTGAGCCGCGGCCTCGCTGTTCCAGC